ATTCTAATTCCCATCATCATCATCCAGGAGCCTTCTACATACACACCTCAAAGTAAGTGAACTTTTCTACCATTTTTGTTGAATTTAGGAAATTTTCGGTGAGCTGGAACCAATTACCCAAAAACCCATTGAAACAATGGTTTCGGTTAACGAACTTTTCGGTTAATGAACGACCTTCTGGAACGGATTGAGTTCGTTAACCAAGGGATCACTGTATAGTTGTACAAAGAGACTGCCTGGAGTGCTTGTTTCAACTTGGTACAAATATGAAACGAATGTGGAACTGATGTTTCTTAGTTGTAACAGATCAAGAATGAGAGCACTGAAAATGGACAGTCTGAAATATTAGTTTTGGAGAATTGACCCAAGTAAGGAATGACGATAAAAGAAAAACTTGGTCCTAAAATGTGAAGAACAAATGGATTAGAGCACTATTAATGAAGTGAAGTGTATGGCAGGTGAGACTGGCAAGGAAACCTTATAACAGTATGGGGGATGAGAGGAAGATTGAGATGGACAGTCTAAGTAAGTGAATTAGTGAGGTTTAGAGGTGTGACATTGCTTACCTTGTACAGTAGAGCAGTGTCGTTATACATGAAAAATCTTGACTACTCAATAGTGTACGGTAAACTATTAACAATGCAATGGAAATCACTTTGAGGTTAAGGATTCCTGTTTGATAATGCAGAGTACAGGAAATGTGTGTAAAATTTATAATTATTATACTTTCCACAATCTTCTCCTACCACCACACTTTACATTCCACCCTTCCTTGAGGTTTGTGTATTACTTGCTCCACTCCAAACAAAACTAGGTAGAATGAGAACACATTAAAGCTAGTAGTCCTGTACACTGCACACTTCCAGTCATTTGAACAGTAATCCATTAGTCTGAGATTTTTTTTTCTAGCTGTCAACAAAATTATGTGAACAATGAATTGTTTCCATTCCCTTCAAATATTCAAGGGAATGTGAAATATTAAAGAGGAAAATTATCCCAACACAAGGCAGATAAAGCCTTCATATATACTTGTTGCTACTACTGTATAAGCATATATGTACATAAAGACAGGAAAACTAATCAACTAAAGAAAAAGATTATAGAATTCTTGAAGTAGGGTTTCCTTATATTAAAATATTCTATCCTTACAAGTCATAATGAAAGACATTATTTATAAACTCGATATATCAGTGACATTAGAGAAGTACCTTCAACATTGTATTTATATTAATACAAACATTCAGGAAAAGCCGTTAAATGTTTAATAATACACATTGCAATTATATATGGATGAAATATTAGGAGAAAAGATTTTTATACATTCTAGGATTCTTTTACATTACAGTATTCCAATTTTTATGCACTTCAGTGCATGAGGTTTGTAGACATGCTTCTGTTTTGGAAAGACTTCTGCCCCTATTATTAAACATCTTCCCTTGAAGAGGGTCGTCGTGTTTCAACCCGAGTTTTAAACTAAATGAGTCCTCAGGGACACCGCAGTACTGTATCTAACGGGGTGGTGTGGCGGTAAAATTAACTTAATTTCAATACAGTGGTCCCTCGATTAACAAACAATTCGTTCCAGAAGGTCGTTCGTTAACCGAAACCATTGTTTCAATGGGATTTTGGGTAATTGGTTCCAGCTCACCGAAAATTACATACAAATTAAAAATAAATGCAGTAAAGTACACTTACTTTGAGGTGTGCATGATGGGAATTAGAATGGGGATGGAGGAGAAGAGAAGGCATTGGGGTGGAAGAGAAGTCACCCCACGCTTCATGTCGCCATTTCACCCATAAAATTTTAGATCACTAGGTGTAATTCAAAATTATTTTCTTTAATTCAACACTGCACTGCATTAAATATTGTCAATATGTAAAATAAACTTCAGAATGACCAATAATTGAACTGTAAAAATAGTTTATGTTGAAGAGAGTCTCAAGCAAGATGCTTCCTCCACTGAGCAGACACAAACTGACGCCATTCTGGGCGAGTCAAGTGGCTGTTTGGCGCGCTAAAAACTAGTTCCCTGTACTTCAATTATGTTAAATAATTGTAAAAATGACTAAAAAATTTAATACAAGACTTGGAAAATTATTGAATAGTACAACCTTCTTGATATTTACTCAAATGGTAACGAATTTTAAGCCCTAAAACCGATTACAGTATTGGTGGACTAATACTACAGCTGGTGAGCAGGCGAAAACAGGTTGGGAAAAATTCATAAGGAATTCGTTTACCGAATTGAATATTCTTGTGGAAGGTAATTCGTTAACTGAGGCGTTCGTTAACTGAGGGATCACTGTATTATAAATTAATTTTATTGGAATTAGTTAATTTTCCTTCCACACCATCCCGTTAAGTACTGTACTGCGGTGTCCCTGAGGACTCATTAAGTTTAAAACTCGGGTTGAAACACGACGACCCTCTTCAAGGGAAGATGTTGTTTAATAATACGGTCATAAATGTCATCAATGGATTCACTTACAGTGCATATTAGAATTGTAATTTTGTAACCAAGGAAACCTGTAAATAAAAACACATTGTCTAATACAGGTAGTACAGTATTCAGAAATCAATAACTATTGCACCTTAACACCCACAACCTCAATAGCACCCTAGTCACTTCCTATGGTCATTTACATGTACAGTATTAAAAAATATAAAGCTGTCTCTCCAATGAAAGTATTACAATTAGCACATTTCTGTGACCTTAAGACATCTTGAAAATAATTATAAAAAAACAAAGACCTGTTTAACATATCTTCTGTAAATTCCGTGTATTTATATCATCCTTTGTTTATCAGTGATAAATACTGAAAACCTGGGTAACTCATCCCGGTACGTGTTCCTTTATCTAATTTGGTTGGCGGACATTTTGTTACTGAATTCTTCACCAGGTATTTCATCAAGTACTGTAATTCTTTTGACTACTATGTTATTCTAATTAAATTTACTTTGGAGGTGATGAAGCCATAGTTTTAGTTAGGTTCATACTGATTTTAATTGTTGTGAATAAAGACAAAACAATAATGATGTCATTGAAGGTTAGGACTCGAATTACTTTTTGGTAACCAACACGAACCAGAAACTTCAGATTTACATACCCATGACAAAATGACTGGGCAACGAAATTACTGTATCTGGCGACAAATTGTACAGTGAAGAATTGTCCTAAAACCATCAAACTTACACACGATGCATCATGCAAAACTATCTTCTAACGTGTGTGTGTTCAGTTATCTGTACTCACACTAATCCCAGCTGAAAGTTCATTTATTTCTATTCTGAACTCATTTCAAGTTTACTTTCCATAAGTTATTCTTCTATAGAATATTTTCACCTTATACTAGACTCCTAGTTCCCCAAGGACATGCAACACCATATCCACTTGTGTTTATACAGTACCTTTCTTATCCAAAAGTAATTTTTCAAGATATCTTTTCCTGCTTTCGACTTGGCTATCATCTCTTATATTCCTTGCCTATACTGTACAGTGCATGGAATAATCTATGACAGTTAGTTTTTATTCTGTCTTAATAAAAGCCTTTTTTTTCTGAAATGAACATGCAATGTACGATATTGATTCTAGACTTTTGTTTAATAACGCTGTCCCTGACCTAACTACAGTACAGTATAGTCTGGATTTACGCGTTTTTTTTTTATGCGGTGCCTTGCCAGAATTTAATGTTTTAATTACGCGGTAAATTTCATGATTTACACGGGAAGTGGCGCGGTGCAGGGTGCGCACAAGGTCGCCCAGTCATCAAAACATTACCGAGTTCTTCACCCGCCACAGCCGGCCCAAGTCAGTGATAGTGAGGATATGGAATTTGAGGGGTTTGACAAAGAGGCCCTGCAAGCCTCTGTGGTGGATAGTGATACAAGTGATACAGGTGAGGGCCAATAATCTGCCCTCTGCCTCGGAACCAACCCCCCATCCCCATGTGCCCAGCCATCTTTTCTACTAACATAAGTGTTAAAAAATCTAATATTATTGAGATTTCTCTTAAATATTAATTGTGTGCATACCGTCATAAAATTAAATGTTATTTTTACTACAATGTACGTATTGTCGGAAAAAGTGGAGTTTGGGAGTCGGCCCAGTTTCTATTTCAATTAATCCCATATGTTCTGGTATTTCGTTTACGCGAACCTCCACAGGTTCAATTGACCGCGTAAATCCAGACTATACTGTACAGTAGTGTTTTTAGCATCCAGTGCAATGTAGTGTTGATTGACAATTTTCCACCTTATTTTGAACACTGAGCACTGGTTTTCCCTTTGCAGGAGTACAGCTCCTCCCCGACTTACGACGGGGTAAGGGACCGACATCCAGGTCGTCAGTCGGAAATGCTTAAATAATACATAGAAAATCTAATATGGGGGGTCTCTTTTTCTTCTCAGCACCACAAAACACTCACTTTTAACTTGCCGGCCATTTTAAAGTGAATTTCAGATGAAAATTTTGTCTGTGTACTGACTTTGGAACTCTAAAATGCGTAATTTGACCAAATTTTGGTGCGACTGAGGCAGGTCGTAAGTACGGGTGGACGTAAGTCGAGTAAATCGGGGAGGAGCTGTATACTGCTTGAGCTATGTAAATTAAGCATTCCAAGTACAAATAAATGTTTAACTCCTTCGCTACTCTCATCTGCTTGACATTCAAATATACTTTGTAATAGGCTGAACATGAGGTTTTCCTCAACCTGTAACTGTCACAGTAAATGAAGCTGAGGAATTTAGGATATTCAAGCAGAGTATGTTTTATTGATAAATTTTACCCGTCCTCAATTAAACTGACATCCACTTACCTCTGTGACGGGTATTCATTAATTATTGTCATAATAAGCAGATGTAGTATTTTTTTCCTTGTTATCTTGGTGTATTGACAGGTATACATACTGTATTATTGAACATGTGCTCGATAATCATGAATGCCAGCAGTTTCCAAAAGCAATGTACTGTAATATGAAAAATTTTGTGATGAGAGAGAGAGAGGTTTTTGAGGTAAGATTTTTTTTTCTCATAATTTATTGTACAGTGCGCTTGTGTAATGTAACATGCAGATAACACAGACTTTAAAGATTGTTCTGCGGTCTTATCAGATTTTATATTTTTTTGTGTTTAGATACTGTATTTATAAACTAGAAATTAAAACAAAAGCACTTCTGTGTATTTGGCTCTTATGCTATGCGAGTGTAATGTAGCGAAGGAGTTAGGAAACTGGTCTTATCTTTAAAGTAAAATAACATAGTAAAGGGTTTATTATATAACATTCACTGGACAAAATTCCATGATAATCAAATCTTGAAACGGATAATTAGTCTATAAAAATACAAAGTGCATTCTTTCTTTTTATATATATATATATATATATATATATATATATATATATATATATATATATATATATATATATATATATATATATATATATATATATATATATATATATATATTCTGTCATCATGGTTGTGATATCACTTAGATATGCATGCATAAGTAGAGTTGGAATATTGTGTCGACCTTTACTGCATTTACATATCACCTTTCTTTACATTGAACAAATTTGAATACTGACATTGGTAAAGCGAACCTTGAAATACCACATTGTATGTTTACAGGCAATATACCCTGCACTACTTTCCCTCTTGTCACAGTTACAAATAAGCAGCAAAAAAAAATTTCTTAAACAATATTATCCACTTTTCACTCAAGTACAGTATCAGTGAGCAAGACCTCATCCTCTGTAGTTTGGCGGCGGAACTTGGGATGCGATACCAGGTAAACTACCAAGCCACCAAACATGATGAGAACCAGGCCAGTCACGTTGATTAGGACACCTTCAGGAGGAAGTGATGAATAATTTTTTCTGTAGAGAAAATTAATACAGGGGTTATAAATAAAATTTTATAATTTATTTACTTGCTCACAAATTCTCATGTACAGTAACTTAAAGTGAAACAATAGATATGCTTAATTGAACTGGACAGTTGAATTTTCAGAGGCCCTAGTCCAAAAGGCTCTAACATGAATTAATGTTTTATTTATTTCAAGGACACACCCCAAGATTTATGAAACATACATCTTGGAAGTAGTAATACCTGTATAGTCACAAAGAGTTGAAAAAGAAAAACATATAAGAGTGAAGCAAATACATTAATCATTCAAATGTAGAATCTGCCAAGTAAAAATTTATGGACTAGCTCGGTGGTTCCCAACCTCAGGTCTGCTGACCGGTGCTGGTCCACAGCTTAAGATTTATCAGTCAGAATTTTTTTTAGCATCGCTTTTGTTTTTAATTTCTTAGTAAAACAATGCTCTTAAACTTTGTGATCATTAATAAATAAACTGTATGGAGGTCAGTTACTGTAATTGGTAAAATTTAATTTATTTTTCAACTGACTCTTGGGTGTCCTGGCCGATGATAAATTAAGTCTTTAGTTAGTTGGGGAAGGGGGGTAGAATGCTTTCTGTTCCTCTCTGCTTTACCTCATTATTATGATTATTTTTAAAATTATATACGTACCTGTATGTCTATAATGCTGCATATAGATTATTGGACCATATATGAACCTGTACATGTTGTATTACAGTAGAGGCTCATTGTTGAGCTACTACCAATGTTTATTGAAATGTACGGTTTGTCGTAAAGGCATTTTTTGGTGTAGTATTAGAGTCTTTAGTCTTCCTCATTGAAATTTATAAAATGATATATTATGTAAACAACATTTTGCTGTAATTATTGGTACCAATCTCATGAAATATTGAGCTCTGGCGTAGGGGTAAGTTGCAAGGGGCAGCAGTTGGACTCAGTATCAGTTCCTGCAGGTTTGTTGTTGTGAACAATGCTCTGCCATACATTTTTTTTGTATGTATTTAATACTTCACTAGTGTATTATTATGGTTTCTAAAACAAGAAAAGGTAAAACAACACTGAGGACCACTGGGAGAAATGGCATGGTGTTCAGAACTCTACCAATTGAAGAGAAACTGAAGATATGAGACAGAATCAATGCTGGAGTCTCTATAAACATTATCTGTGAAGAGTTTGAGTTGAAACAGAGTACTTTTCACGACCACCTAGATTTGTGCATACTAAATATAAGTAACTAAATGCGAAGTGTAATTAAATGTGTGAATATACTACGAATCATAAGTGTAAGCAGCTCCCCATCGTCCTCCACCTCAAGACTGATCTGCTATAAAAAAAGTAAGTGCTGTGTAAATGTGTACTGTACTGTTGTCACCTTTATAAGTTTGTTTTTAGAATTAATTTTTCAGCAAAATGATGGTTGAAAGTACCTAAGGGGAGGTTAAGCAGAAGTCAGAATTTCAGAGAAGCCGGACAGCCTCAAGCCCCATATAGTCCGATTTAGAGGGCTTATATAAATATTTACAATTACCAGTCTGCAGAATTTTTTTTCACTCCGCTGGTCCATGAAGTTAAAAAAGTTGGGAACTTAGCTGATTCAAAGTAAAGCTGATACATGGTAGAACCATTGTTAGCATCAATACAGGTTGGAAAGATTAATTAAATCCCATTTTACAGTTAATGCCAATGTGATTCACCACACACATGGTTTCGTATATATACCAAACAAACACTGCAATAATGAGCAGTGGTACAGTGGTAACGCGCATAACTCTCACCAATATGTCAAAGGTTCGAGCCTCAGCCTGGACACATGTGAGAAGGGTGTTATCCAGTGTGACCCTACCAAACACCACAGGTTTCCCAGTCCCTGGTTTAGAACATAAGAAAATGAGTCTGCAATAGGCTGGTTGGCCTGTGCATGGCAGCTCCTGTCGAGAGTAACAACCACTCTCTATCGTCCATGAATCTATCTAGCCTCCCTTTAAAACCTTCCAGCGTCCCAGCACTTACTACAAAGTTGCTAAGCTTGTTCCACTCGTCTACCACCCCATTTGAGAACCAGTTCCTTCCTATCTCCCTTCTAAGCCGAAATTTATCCAACTTAAATCCGTTGCTAGGAGTCCTATCCTGCTCGAATATTATAAGAACTTTATCTATATCTCCTTTATTGATTCCTTTCACCCACTTAAACACTTCTATCATATCTCCCTGCACTTTTTGTCTTTCTAGGGAATGCAAGTTTAGTTTCTTTAATCTTTCTTGATTTGGAAGGTTTCTAAATCCCAGTATCATTTTTGTCATTCTTCGCTGCACCGACCCCAGTGAATTAATATCCATTTTATAATAAAGGCACCAGAACTGAACAGCATAATTAAGGTGTGGCCTGACTACCGCAAAATATACTTGCAATATGACCTCCGCACTCTTATTATTTGCACTTCTAGATATAAAACCTAATACTCTGTTTGCCTTATTTTGAACATTAACGCACTGTTTTCTAGGCCGAAGGTCCGGGCTTACAAGTACCCCTAAGTCTCTTTCACAAGTCGACTTCTCTAGGTTGATGTTGTTAAGGCTGTATACATTGAAAGTATTTGTTCTTCCAATATTAAGTATGCTGCACTTGCTGGTATTGAATTCCATTTGCCATTTTTCTGACCACTCCTGCAGTTTATTTAAATCCTCCTGTAGTGCCTTTGCATCCTGCCCTGAATTAATCTGCCACCCTATTTTGGTGTCATCTGCAAATTTGCTGTCATTGATGATTCAAACGGCGAGTAAACTGATCTGGCGAATATGATAACAAAACAAAAATGAGTACTTACACAGAAAAAATGGCTTTCTCTGTGAAGCCTAGAAGACAGGATGACACAGCTCCAACAAAAATGAAAAGTCCAAAGAACTGGTGCACAGGCAAGTATGCCGCTCGTACAGATGGGCGTAAACCAGGGAAGAGGAATGTCAATAAACCGATCACCCACTGAAAAACAAGATATTTTGTTAATCCTCCAATAGTTGTTTTCTTCTGAATAAGGGCATTCACAAGTCTATAATTATATAGTAATGTAGGTTACAAAACCAAAATAAACCTGGCTATTGCCAGCATTACAATTATATATATCAGGCAAACCCAGAGTTACGAACGCCTAACTTACCAACATCCATTATTACAAATGGGATACCAATACACACACACAATACTGTACTGTATGTTCATTACAAAAATCTGTAATTTAAATTTTATTTTTTAAATTACGTACTGTACTATACTTCATATTTACATTATTGTGGGTCGATGACCTGTGCCCAGGTGAACTATTCCGTGTAAAAACAAAAAACAAAAACACGTAGGTACAGGGGGTCCCCGATTTATGAACTTCCGACTGCCCACCGATACAAACGAGATTAAACTTTAAATTTACAGTACAGTGGGGTATGCTATAACGAACGGATCCTACTACGAATATTCCTATAACGAACGGTTTTACCTATAAAATTGAGAATGCTATAACGAACGAAACTCCTACAACGAACATTATTTAAAAAAAATTTTTTTTTTTTACTAATTTATTGTTTTTTTATTACAAGTATTAATGATGTTCTTTATTTCAGGGGTTTAGATGCATAATAATGCACTTTTTTACAATTTTTACAATTTTATATTATATTTTTCAGTGTTAAGTGGTTGTATTTGGGGGCCTGGAACGAATTAATCCTATAACAAACGAATGCTATAACGAACAAGGTTCTAGAACCAATTAGATTCGTTATAGCATACCCCACTGTACTGTATTTTATTTACCCGAGGACTTTTTTTTTTACTTTCATTCACTGTATTTTGTCATTTTATTTCTTCCTTTGTTTTAAATTAAGTGATTTTAGAAGTATATAAGGACTTAGGCTATGATATACCTGTAGTGGGATTTTAAACATTGTTCTGCAAGTATGGTATGCATATAGCATGTATTCAGACTTAAGAATGTCCTCAGGTTATTGTTGCTTTGTATGGTCAGGGTTGTATTTTAACCTCACCTAACCTATGTAATTAACACAGCTCTTGACTATGAACAGGGTCCAGGAATGTACAGTCACCGCAAAAAGTTTCGATAGACTTGGTCCTCTGAATACATTAAAAACAGTATAAAAAACATTTTGCGGAAACTTGATCACGTCCGCTATTGACATTATCGGCTATCTGGCAACTCTCCTGAGCTTGAGCAAAGGTCTGGTGTACCCCACAGGGTTGCCAGATGGCCGTTTCCACGGCCAAATTTCTCTAATTTGGCCGTAAAAAATTTCGCCTGGCTGTGGAAAAATAGATGGTCACGGCCAAACTATTTGGCCAAATTTTGTAAAACACTTATTAATTCCTCATCTAGAGGATTTTTAAGACAAGTCTAGCAGATTTTCAAATTTCTCAATGAAAATGCTGGCTCAGTGCCCTCACCTCTTCACATGATTATGTGACCTACTGAGCTGAGTGACCTTACTAGTTACTACCTTAGTTGTTAGTTCTCACATTTTAGTTGTTCAGGCTGAACGTGTCCAGCATATGGGTTAAGCTTCAAAGCTTACAAAGCCATCTAGTTTTCAAAATGTCCACTAGTAAATGGAAAGGGTCCTACGACAGTGGTAGAAAATATAACAAATCATGGGAAGAAAAATACGTCTAGGTTAGTATAGCCAGTGATGGAAGTGAAAATTGTCCAGTTCCAAGGAAAATGTTACAGAGATTTCAAAGTAATACCACACATGATGGAGCTATTCAGCTCTGCAAACATGTATGAGAAGGAAGAACCAGGGAAAGATGACGAACTAGAAGTTTTTGCTTACGTCAACTGGTGTTATCAAGTTCTCCACCATTATCATGCTCCACCACCATTTGAGATTAAGGGAAATCTTCACTGTAGATTACAGATATTATGTTTCTGTAATTATTGGGCTCTCAATTCTAAGTGAAAATTTGGGTTTATTGTGACATTTTAAGTGGATATTGTAGGGGAGAGTTTTATTTTGTGTGGACAGCAAAAATAGCCTTGTGCTTCTCATCCAAAAAGATTTGGCCGAAATTTGGCAGTGAGATGGCGCGAGTGTTGGCCGTGAAGCTTGTCGTACATCTGGCAACCCTGGTACTCCAGGCCTACGGTGCTGGTTCAGATCTCGTGAGGGGAGGACATATTTACCTGGCCTCCTATGTGCTGTCCCTTGGATTTTACATACCGGTAGTACTGACATTTGGCTCCATATATTTTTGTATTGTTACTCATCATCAGAGTTGTAATGTAACTACCATATTTTATGGTTTATAAGATGCACTTTTTTGTCTGAATAATGGCTAAAAAAAAATCAGGCTGCATCCTATATGTGAAGTTGTTGTCTCCAGTAGGCTAAATTCTACCTAACCCAACTCCAGAATTAAAAATGTTTGCTTCAACACATTATTATTTTTGATTAATTAAAAAATAATTATTGTAAATATAAAATCTGGAATTATAACTTCAGTACTGAACTGATGATGATTTTTACCCCGAGATGATTAATGTCCGTATGGTAGACACCCAACTCTTCAGAGGTAGCTGAGCAATAACCATTTCTGAACTCTTACAAGCATTACAATCTATTAATGCCATACTTGCAAAATTTATTTTTAAATTTACAAATACCTGATACAAATGACGATTTAAAAAACTTTATTTTCACATTTGTCCTAAGGGCAAACACATAAAAGGAATATACATTTCTTTGCATATGAGTTTAGCTTTTTTAACCTTTACTTTTATCCTCTTTGCCACTGATTGGCTCGTTAGCAGCTTGGGCGGTCAGTCACATCTCTGATACGCACTGTTGGTAGATACTGAGTATGTACTGCCTCCTGAATATATCGTAACCTGCTCCAGTGTTGGTCAAGTCTGCCCTTGAATGAGCTCATACTCGGTGCCGTCACTATGCTCTCTGGCAGACTGTTCCAAAAGTTCACAATATTCACTCCAAAAAAGTTTGCCCTCACAGTTTTCTGGAATTGTGGCTTCTTCAACCTTGAACTGTGACCCCTTGTGGGGCAGATGTCTGCCAGTTCCAGTTATGTACAGTCAGCCAAAGATGCACCGACCCCACCCTGGGCCTCATGCTCGCAATTTTACCTGGCAATACTTGGTCAAGTAAGGCTGTATGGAAAGGTGATTGTGATTGGTGGATCTATTTTTGTCTGTATCACTGTCAGGATAATTATTAAAGGTAGATATTTTTATAATAATAAACTATTTATCATTATTTTAGATCAAGAGAAGTTTCCAAATGTTTGTATATTTGTCTAAATAATGAAGAAAATTTGATGAGAATCTTGTGGCAGCTGTGGTTGTAGTTGAGTTGCCCATTCATTAATCTAATTTTCTTCATTCTTTGAAAAAAAAAAAAATTGGAAACTTCTCATGACCTTGAATAACAATGAATAGTTTATTATTATAAAAATTCTACCTTTGGTTTGTTTAATAATTATACTGACAGTGATACAGCCAAAAATAGATCCACCAATCACAATCACCTTTCCATACAGCCTTACTTGACCAAGTATTGCCAGGTAAAATTGCGAGCATGAGACCCAGGGTGGGGTAGGTGCATCATTGGTTGACTATACATTTGACTGAGTAGTGCCCCCTAGGATGTTTATACACTTCAATTAGGTTGCCCCTCACCCATCTGTAGTATAAGGTAGATATTTGCAGGTGCTCCAATCTCTCTGGGTAATTGAGGTTCCGTAGAGCAGAGCTCAGTGAGGGAGTGGGAGGTGGTGAGGCGTGTGGGGAGGGGGGGAGCATTGTTAAGGAATCGGTAGAGGTGGCGTCTGTGTTGCTTTGGTGAACCAGGGAGTATATGCAAATGGCAACTGTGTTAAACTTTCATTTGGTTTTTATTTACTTATTTTTTTTTTTTTTTACGGGGATTATCCCACCCGGGCACAGGTCACTGACCCACATCGGGGCCTGGGGGGCGAAAATGTAATAATAATACTAATAATAAAGAACCATAAAGAAATGAAAAATGATCAAGAATGAGAAACAGTATATGTATGTTGTGTTGTCAATGGTAAGAGAAACAATTGAGACCCTGCAATTGTGTGTAAATGAGGCAGAAAGTCAGATCAGCAACCTGGGACTTGGTCACAATATTCGTGATGCCATATGGCAGCAGGGTCTACGATTAGATAATACATTATGCTTCCAATATCTTCCCAGGCGGTAGTACCTCCCTGTTTGGTAGCTGCCTACTACCTAAGTAATCTGGAAGTCAGGGTTGCAGACCTTTTCCTGATGTAAAGTTTTTACTGTGCAGTACAGTATATGTAATTAAAATACCACTTGTGGGGTTTGCTGTCATTTATGAATTTTAAAGTATGTACTAGTCCCAAATAAGTACAGTGGTCCCTCGATTAACTTATGGTTCAATTTACGAAATTTCGGTTAACGAATTAGCTCCCATAAAGATTTTCAGTTCCATTAACGAACAAAACTCCGATTAACGAAATCCTTACGAGATACACACTTTGTTGTGTGCATCAGCCGATCAGTTGATCGGCTAGTCCGCCAATACAGTAATCGGTTCTATGTTTACATTTGTTTCCAGTGGAGTAAATATCAAGAAAGCTGTGTTCTTGAATATTTTTGCATTTTTCATATTAAAATTATTGGTCATTCTAAAATTTAGCCATCCAAGCTCTGTCTACATAAAGTTTTTCAACTAATATTTTTGGCTCGATATATGTAACTTTATTAATTTATATTTACTCATTTACATGCACACACTGTCCTAAGGGCAAAGTTGTACTGTACATGTACTCAAAATAATGTACAAAATGATTACTAAGATTCAGCGCCGGATTTAGACCTGTGGAGGCCCATGGGCAGCCTATTTGTGGAGGCCCCCCTCATTATAACTACCCAAGAGGGTGGGGTGGTGAGTGAAGCGAGCCTAAACATCTGGGAGTTCCGGGGGGCGCTGTAAGCCCTCCGGGAAAATTTTGAAATTTGAACACTTCTTTGGAGAATTTTGAAGCCATATGCAGTTATATGGAGGAAATTAGAACATTGAGAAATTTTTAATTAACTGTGATGGAATAGATAAACATGAATTTTAAAGAATGAAAATAAAAATAATCCAAATGAATAAACAAATAAATAAAATATTGTAATGTGTGGAGGCCCCTGGACAGCTGCCCTCTTTGCCCACTCCTGAATCCGGCTCTGCTAAGACTTTTGTCAAGTGCAAACTATAGCATGTTTATATTCAAATTAATCACTATCTTATAAGAATTCCAGCAATGTAAATTATATTCTCCCTGGTTACTTTTGTGACATTTTATAAACAAAACAAAAAATCTATCTACAGGACATAAATAAACAAATACATGCTACACTAGACCTTTGGCCCCAACTGTCAAACATGTCACTGTCACCTCCCCTTCCTTTCTTCCTACCCCCACCTCTCTCCCAGCCAGGGTTTGGTGGTTTTAGGCTTAAAGTTTTTATCTTATATTATAATATCAGACTAAAGTTAGGAGAATATAATTTGCATTGCTGGAATCCTTGCAAGACAGTAAATAATTTGAATATAAACGTCATATATTTTGTACAAGAGATAAAAATTAATCACCCATATCACATTACAGTAGCAATTTAAGAGTTCTCGTGTATATGTACGTATATATACTGTACATAGTGATTCAAGGGCGATTACAGGGATTTTTAGGAGTGTTTCTGACTTTATGCATTTTTTTACTTTACTGTGTATGTACTTTTTCTGTGAGTTGGAACCAATTACGTACCCAATATCCCATTGAAATAATAGATTCAGTTAACGAAATTTTCGGTTAACGAACGACTCTGTGGAACCACTTGTGTTTGTTAATCAAGAGACCACTGTATAATAAATTTCAACCTCAACCACAAAATACATATTCATATAATGGTGTTCAAATAAAGAGATTTTTTGTTATCAAATGTAGTTAGCATCAATGTCATATGTAACCATGTGTGAATTGGAACAAAATAATCTATGTACTCGTATAAAAGACATACCTGACATGCAAATAATATGACTGTACAGAGGCCAATCCAGGAGTGCAGACTGTACATGTTGGGGATTTTAGGGGAACTATTATTGTGAAAGTCAAACACAGCCACAAGTCCAACAATGGAGAAAATGAAGGCACCCAGTTGTATCAACATGTGTAGGATCTTCAGCTTCTTTTTCTTCTCAGAACGGAACCCTCGGTAAATCAATGCCCCTGGAACAAGTCATTAGATTAGATTATTTCATATTCATAATTAACTCGCTGTACTTTCAGAGTTAATAAATACTATAAATGAAATGAATTTTCAGGAAGATACAGTATATTCTCAGGAAATTCTTTGATATCATATTTATACAAATAAAATAATATACAGGGCTTAGAACATCTGATCACCCTTTTTATGAATGTAGGAATAAAACTTGTTGAAAAAGATACAAATTGAGTGCGATATAATTACAGTAATAAGACTATAAATGTCTTGCACATCCTTTATGTCGGTTCCAGTAATACAGCAGTGGCCTAATTTATTATTTAAAGCACATAGGTTAACTTAGGATTCAACTCTGTCACTGTTCTACTATTGAGCTTTGGCAATTTGGTTCTATCATGCACTCTCTGAAAAGTGCATTAGTGCTGTCATACCACTTTTCCTCAAAACCAGGAAGATTTTTTGCATCCTCTGATTTATTGTTGTTCTATTTGTATACTGTATAGAATAATAGCTTCAAAAGCACACTTAAGTCAGGAATAATAACCAAAGAAAATACCAATTTACACATTTTTGTACTTGTTATGAGACTTGACACAATAAAGTTGAAGATCTGGAAAAAAATAAATAAATTCTTGAAAGATGCACAAGGGATGACAGGTTTGGGCATGTGGAGTGTAAGGTGGATTGATGAAGACGATTTATGGTATGCTGCACAAGGAAGGATAGGAGATTGTTTGCATTATTAATATATAGTACAGTACCTTGTATGTCTTTGCAGAGATATAGGGGAAAGACAAAGAATCACATACTGCACTACATTCCCCATATACTGCAAATACAGTGTCCACGGTAATATTTGTTTGACTGAAATATGTATTTCTAAAATTGTATCAAAATAATCTTTTGCAGAATGATTCTACTAACTTTAAATGTATAAGTAATGCTGACCAGCTGTGTATATTTAACTGTAATGAGTAGGCATAAAATTGAAGTTCTGTACCTGTAATTACCATATATATCCATACAATATTACAGTACTGTATTACCGGGTATGTATTCTATACTTAAGTTTTCTTCAATTTGCATGTACCTATATTCAGTACTGTAGTATGAATAAGATGACCACATATACAGTATGTACTGTACTGTATATGCATATAATATGAGCTTCAACAATAAGAGAGAAATGCTTACCATTTGCATAGAGGAAGACCATTCCAAGTACCATTAAAAATGGATGCCAGTTGAACTGCAAAACTGGTTCGCTGCCCCAAGCAAATCCTTTTCGAAAATATCCACACCAAACCCCTACCAGCACTACAGAAAGAATACCTAAGGAGGGGAAGCCGTGCAATACAGTAAATAGACTTCTTAGTGAGATCTGAAAATTTGCATTGTACAGTACAGTATCTATAGACTAGTCTGACATTAAATGATAGGAATTATTTTTACAAGATCTTTACATTGTATTTACATTGCCTGTACTTACTCTTTCATAATAATTAGACAAAATATTTTTATTGGCCCTAGATATACTCAGGATACTACAAGCCTTGTTTTCTGGACTACAGCACAGTATATATTCATTTACAGTACAGGTACAGTCTGGGTCAGAAGTCTTGAACACTTGACAGTATTTGGCATGTAAGTACCCGAAGATCTTAGGTATTAAGGAGAATTTTATCCCATTTTGTGGTTCAGGCATAATATGTGATGACAAGTACAGTAGTGTTATTAGTATATCCCAATCATATATGTATAACTTCGAAGTAGATGCCAGATATTGCTCAGTGTTCAAGACTTTTGACCCCTACTGTACATACATACAAATTCTGAGCTTATGCCATGCCAATACAGTTCAGTACAGAAGTCAAAGATAAAAGCTACTAATGGTAATGTATTTTGGATTTATAGCTACTAAATAAACTTTAGCTTTGCATACCAATAACTCTGTCCTCAATATATTACTGTAGCACCTCTAAACTTACATAAGGTACAAAATATTGTCTATACAATACTGTACAGTCACAATCCAAAGTTTCGGCACCCCCCTGGCTGGGTGTTTGCCGAGGCCAGGGTTGAGGTAAGGCTGGGTGATCGGACGCAGACATTCCACCACCACAGCACTCCGAGACTCACAGCACACGAGCATGGAAGGAAATATTTACGAATTTTGACATGACATGCACCTGCATAACAAAATTTCATTCATAACATTGTTGGCACACATAACAATAGCAAGTTAGGAGTGAGGCATGAGAAACTTGGGCTGTTCTTGACCCAATTATGAAATATGAATATTGATAAACATCACGTGTTGATGGACTAAAAGTATCGTGACACTACTACAGACAAAGAATAAGTCCCATCACAAAGATGCTCCGGACCAGACAAAAATTATTTGGGTGATACCATGATTAACGTGAATTGCAACACTCCAAGCCAAAATACTCCAATGTAGTTACTGATACACCATTAAATATTGTAAACATGACTACTGTATATGAATTCCTAGCGTGTGAAACCATAATATTCCCAGGGTTATGGTAATATCTATACATGTACAGTATAGGCCTCACCTTGTTGACTGACCGCTCACTCCCTCTTGAAATTCAGCCGCCAGCCACCCTTTATACTTATATGCTGCCCTGATGATTCATGTGTAATACGAGGACTCGCATCTAGTGGTTCCAAGCCAGTGTTTTGGGACCGGGCAAAGTTTTTCATGCTCCAATCTTAACATGGTACAGTGATCCCTCGGTTAACGAATTACCTTCCATAAGATTCTTCACTTCGATTAACGAGCAAACCCTCAGTTAACGAATTCCTTACGAAGTTTTCCCAACATGTTTTCGCCTGCTCACCAGCTGTAGTATTAGTCCGTCAATACAGTAATCGGTTTTAGGGCTTAAATTCGTTACCATTTGAGTAAATATCAAGAAGGTTGTACTATTTAATATTTTTACAAGTCTTATATTAAAGTTTTTAGTAAAGTTTTTAGTCATTTTAACATAATTGAAGTACAGGGAACTAGTTTTTAGCGGACCAAACAGCCACTAAACACACCCAAAATGGCGTCAGTGTGTGTCCTTGCTCAGAGGAGGAAGCATATTGCTTCAGACTCTCTTGAACATAAACTATTTTTACGTTTTTACAGTACAATTATTGGTTATTCTGAAGTTTATTTTACATACTGACAATATTTAATGCAGTGCAGTGTTGATTTAAAGAAAATAATCTTTTATGGGTGAAATGGCAGCATGGGGCGACTTCTCTTCCACCCCAATGTCTTCTCTTCTCCCTTCTCCTCCACCCCCATTCTAATTCCCATCATCATCATCATCAACCAGGAGCCTTCTACATGCACACCTCAAAGTAAGTGTACTTTACTGCATTTATTTTTAGTTTTTAAGTAATTTTCGGTGAGCTGGAACCAATTACCCAAAAACCCATTGAAACAATGGTTTCGGTTAACGAATCTTTCGGTTAACGAGCAACCTTCTGGAACGAATTGTGCTCGTTAACCTAGGGACCACTGTATTGCTATGTGTGGCAACAATGTTATGAATGCATTTGTTATGCAAGTTCATGCCTTGTCAAAGTTCGTAATAAGTTCCTTCCTGTGCTCATGTGCAATGAGTCTCGGAGTGTTGTGGCGCTGGAATGTGAACCTCACCATCGTAGAGCCTCGTTACCACACTGCTGAACTAGTGTGCATCTGATCACCCAGCCTTACCTCAACCCTGGCCTCGGCGAACACCCAGCCAGGGGGGGTGTCGAAACTTTGGATTGTGACTGTACATGGAATGTTTGAATTTTTTTATTTATCATACAAAGGAACCAAATTTTCCAAAGTAAGACCATAATATACAATATAGGTACAGGGTGTATTAACAAATACTATAAGAATAATGTAGTAATGTTATTTATGAAGAGTACATGTGTATGTGCAGTCGAGACTGTAGTACTTACCTAGAATTTGAGAAAGTGTGAAGAGCTTGGTGAAAAATGGAATGTGCTGCGCTTCATTCTCCATCTCATCCAGAATTCCTCTACCAATTAGAGAACCTTCTTCACCAGTTTCCCAGTCACGCCTAAAAAAAATTAAAGCACTCGTATATACTTATACTTGTACCATAATAGACAATGGATGGAATATATACCTGTATTTCTGAATTATAAAAATACATGGTAAATGTTAAGCACTAACAAGGTACTATACTAAACTAGCAGTATTAGGGATTTTGTACAAACAGTTAATAGCTTCTCAGATGGAAATGTGCATAAATAACATGGATTTTACAGTACAGTACAGTACACAGTACAGTACTGTATCTAGAAAAGATAAGTTGGCTATGGCCTCTACATCTGAAAATAGTAAAGAACAAACCAACTGTTCGAATACTGTATCTACTAAGCCGATGAAGTGATGGGAAAAAATCCTAAGCCGATAAAGTGATGGGAAAAAATCATTACATCGAGATATTTGTTTAAATATTATTTTAGTTTGATTCCATAGTCTTTTTACCCTTGTGAGTTTCCTTCTGTCGAATGTAAACAAACACAGGACTGCCACATTTCACACAACCTGACGAGCCCCTGTAAACGCACTAGTGAAGGGGACTGTATAGCCTACAGACAGAAATTTCAAATTTGTCTGCAATTTGTAAAATTTCAAGTCAAATTTACTTCTTTTTTTTCCCCCCCTCTTTGCCACTGATCGGCTCGTTAGCTGCTTAGGCGATCGGTCACGTCTCTGTTACTTTTCTCTTCCTTTTATCCTCTTCACCAAATGATCGGCTCGTTAGCCGCTTGGGTGATCGGTCACATCTCTGTTACGCACTGTTGGCAGGTACTGGGCAAGCACTGATTCCTGAATGTATCTGAACCTGCTCGGCACTGTCACAACGCTCATTGTCAGGTTGTTCCAAGAGTTCAGACTCTTACTCCGAAAAAGTTCGCCCTCACAGGTATGGACACTTAACTGAGTAGTGCCCTTTGAGATGTTTATACACCTCAATTAGGTCACCCCTTGCCCATCTGTAGTATAAGCTAGGCAGTTGCAGGCACTCTAATCTCTGGATAGCCAAGGTGCCAAAGTGCAGACACCAGTCTGGTGGCCCTCCTTTGGACATTTTTCAATCAACTGACAGTCCCTAGCATATCCCAGGGACCAGACGGGGTGACAGTACTCCAAGTGGGAAAGCACCTCACTCTTGATGATCGTTGAGGGACGGACCGTCTAGATATCTGAATGACCTTACAAGACCTGGTTTGATTTTTTCCCCTAGTTTATAGTAATACCAAGGTTCATTTATCAAATTATCTTGACACAAATTTTAATACTAACTTTACAGTTTATTATTAAAAAAAAATAGAAGTAATGCGTGTACAATTAAAGTTTAGTTAGGTAACCTACACCAGACGGGCAAGGGGGTGGGACCTAATTGAGGTGCATGGTATAAACATCTCAAAAGGCACTACTCAGTCTACTGTTCATACCTAGAGCTGGCGGATGCCTGCCCAACATGGGGTCACAGCTCCCAGGTTGAAGAAGCTGCAAGTCCAGAAAAACTCTGAGGGCAAACTTTTTTGGAGTGAGAGTTGTGAACTCTTGGAACAACCTGCCAGAGAGTGTTGTGACGGCACTGAGTGTGAGCCGTTTCAAGACCAGACTTGACCAGCACTGGAGCAAGTACCATCACAAGCACCAAAATATATAAATGTAAAAATCATATCACAATAATGTACTTTACAAATTAAAAATTTTGACTGGACTGGTCACTGTAATAGCAAACATAAAGCCACATCATTATGGTCCAATTAAGTTACAGTAATTTGTATAAAATAGATCTTCCTAAACTGAACACGGATCCGTTTAATTTCAAGTGATTTACAATACGGTATATGTACTATTATACTGTACTGTACAGTACGGTGTTTTGGGCTGCACTTGCCATAAGTATTAAATATAATTTGGATAGAGTAGCCTCCAAGTCCAACAGCATTTGCCCCATCATATTAAATTAAAAAAAAAAATACTGCCAGAAATCCAATCTTCTAATACTTTTTAATTTTATGACATTCTTCAGAAATTTTCCAGGTTGTAGCGGATGAGGGAAGGAGGGGAGAGGGAACTTCATTATGGTAGGCCTTGGCATAAGAGACCTATTGGCAGGAAGTCCCACAGGAGCAGTCTAATACATGCACACCAGAAACGTTTGAAGACTTAAAGCAAGTATTTTACAGTTTTGAGTATGAAAAAAAGGCTGTTTTCTTTATTTAAACATTGCACGTTTTGATTTTTCACGAGGGAAGAAGGAGGATTTATGTAACCGCTCATGACCAACACTTAATGGTAAATTTACAGTTTTAGTCACAACTACTGTTTGACCACAAATTTTTGCTTTTCCCATGGTATTTGGTATGATCCATTTGAATTTACCTTCATTTCCATCAGAAATGAGTAGTTTTTTTACTTATCATCTCCCCCAATAAAACCTGACCTAACCAACCAAAGAAACCTACCTGACCTAACCTAACTTCCTAGCTGTCCCCAATACATACAACAGAAAGTACTTTTGTTAATATATATGGTACGATGAATGCAGCTTTGTTGAAGCATCATGGTGCAATTTTATGTTTTTTGTCGATGTGAGAGTAAGATCAGACTGAGTAGGTCGGCTGTAAACAAACAGACGACACGCAGCGACTGCATATTTATGTTAATTTCTTTTGTGAATTTACTTTCATGGTTAATATTCATTTGCAATGGAAGTGGTATTGGAAAAAGTTGTTTCTACTGACAGGATATAACTAATGGTAAAAACAAAATTGCTCTAACTGAGTTGTGGCTGAAACTGTAACACCACCACCACCTTAATGGGTTAATATTGATGACTGACCAACAGATGTGTTATTTGTTTTACTGCTTATTTTCATACTTTATTTTCATCATTGAGTTCTGAAATGACAATCATTTCTTGTGCAAATGCTTCGTTTGGTATATACTTAGGCGCCTAGGCGCACACTACTTTGTCTTCTCATCGGTAATGTGGCAGTGATGTCTCATCCCAGGATGTAAAAAGCCAGTCATATTGACGTATTTCAGAACACTCCACTGCCCGAGCTTGATCAACGCCAATGCCCAGTGTATGCTTAAGAACCGTTTGGTACAGGCGGCTGCCCTCACGTCCACAGAAAACGTAAAATTACACCATATTATAGTAAGTTCTTTCTGTTTAATATACGGGGGGGGGTGGGGTCCGGGGGCACAGGAAGTTAGGTAAGGTCAGGTAGGTTTGTTTGGTTAGGTATGTTAGGTCTTCTAACAATGCTTCTGCAGCTTGTTTTTCATATCAACTAAGGTTAGGTTATGTTTAATTTAGAAATATCCAAGTTTTAAGACATGTGCACAAACTATGACAATGTCCACTATAAAACACAGTGAAATTGTGGCGTTTTTATAATCGTTTTCTACGAAAAATCGGCTGCGGGTCAGTGTCAATTATTATCACTAGTTTATGTCACCCGAAGATTAAGTAGTCTAATGCTACTTAGGGATTAAGTTTGTATTAAGGTGGTTAATCTTCTGGTGAAATAGAAGGGTGCTTAATCTTCAGGTGATCCAGTTCAATTTATAGTAGTACACCGTTCTTTCTTTGGGTATTAGAAATTTGGGTAAAATTGCAGTTTTTGCCAATATGCCCTAGTGGTTTAGAAATTAGTCTACCCCGTGTATTTTGGTGTGATTTAATCGAATTTGACCTTTATTTTCAGGGGAAAATACCCATTTTAGTTATCCCTCCCCAAAAGTATTTACAAACTTTAAAATTAATTTCTGACATCATTATTCTTTGTCCCTGGTTGAAATGAGGTTAGAAATACTCCAATAAGAGGACCTAATACACTTCAAATAACAAGCTATTATAATGAGGGCCGTACTGGCCATTTTACGGGTCAGTCGTCAATTAATACCGTAAAAAGTATTATTTATTAATCAGATTAACTTCGGCTCCGTCATATTCGTTTTAATTTCTGGTCGGACTACTAAATGAAGCACTCAAAGGAGAAGTCTTACTTAACAACCGTAGAAACTTAACAGAACAGCGATGAACAGTAATACCGGTTGTTGAGTCCCACAGTAGCTCCTTCCCTTACACCTCACAGTAAACTTATACCCCTTAATACCCGATGGTTCTCCTTATTGACTAATTTAATTCTACATCATGATGGGGAAAAAGTGCGCTTGGCCGCTATAAATGTAAAAAGTCTCAAGAATATGAGTGATTAGATAAAACAAAATCGAGTATCAAGTTTCCACGAAGAAAAATGTTATTCAAGAAACTTTTAAAAGAAGTTTCGCCACTTGCTGGAGCACTTAAGTATAGTCTCGTTCGCTGGCTGTACTGTATCAAATTACAGTACTTTCATGCTAATGCGTTAACATTGAATATAATTAATTGGAATTTCTCTTAAATCAAAAGATTAGTCATAATCTAATATCGACTGAAATGTACAGTAACCCCTTAGGATAGTTTTTCATATGCGGATGCGCAGTTTATTCGTTATTCCAAACCCCAGTCAAATTTAGAATCAAATGATAAAATACAGATATTTACACCTTGGATCAAAACCAAGCATTTATATATACGTCTACAAATCTGTATCAGCTTTCCCATTTACGATATTACGATAATTTGGATTTATTCGATACCCACAAGCTAAGTATAATTTCCAAAAACGAAAGTTCACTTTCTACACATTCCCTTTATATATACGATAATTTTAATAAGCCTAGATTTATTACTAGCATTAATTTTGATGTATAAAACTAAGTTGGATGGAAGACTGAATAGCCAGTAGGATACATTTTCCAATATATAACAACAAATACAGAAGGGATCACATCCATTCCTCTACTTGTATAGGAAACACGTTTAAAATATTTACAACTCCAGGTATTACAACCATGTAGTATGCAAAGCGTTTGCCAACTTTCACACACCTGAACATTAATATGCATATGTGAACTGGTAATAAAACGCATTTCCATAGTTAAGACAGTTACCCTGTAGGGGAGGAATGGAAGTGT